GAAACCTGTTGCCACGTCCTTCATGACCAAAGCTAGTCGAGAATCCCTAATCTCTTCTTCGTTGTCGCGATAGACGATGAGATGATCCCCAGTGAGATGGTCGCCGAATTTCTCAGACTCAATGAACCTGGAACCGTTCGTTTGATACGAAGGCGGCTTGAACATCTTCGCTCTCTGGCACGTAGGGCAAAAGGGATTCTTTGGGACGTGAGTCATCAGATGATGTTTGCTCTTGGCTTCTTCGCGTAAAACCTTCTCTCCTCTAGAACGCTTGTCCGCCTCAGCGGGAACAGGAGGAGGAGGAGGTGGCTGATCCTCAGCACTTTTCAACTCCCCGGCTTCATCGAAATGCTCCTCAATATCAAAAAGATCAGACATGTCTGCACCCTTCTCAGGCTCAGGCTCAGGCTTCCGCCCGGCATCAGGCTTGCTGGGCTTAGACTTAGCCTTGCTCTTCATTAAGGGAGGAGCTGGTTCAGGAACCTTATCTTTTTCGGCTTCAGCCTTCTTCTTCTTCGCGTAGTGTGAGCTCTTCATCGCTGTCGCCGGTAATCAATGATGGAACAAATGGTAACCGTCTTGATGAATTCAACTGAAACCCAAGCGACATTAGCGACCTTGACTGTTCCCAGCTCAAACCGTCTACATCCCGAATCGTGTATGCAGTGATGGTCCATCGATCACCTGTCCAAGGCTGTGCCTGATGCCAAAGCTTGGGGTGGAAGGATAACATTCGATCATGAGTGTCATATACTCTTCCGTCGACTTCGAGTCCCCCCGTAACCTTGACGCACTTTGATTTCCCACCAGCTACACCTTCTCTGCGAAATACGGGAAAGTCGTCCTTCCGCTCAACCCATACGGAACCACCTTGATAGCTTCCAACGCCTAGAGTGTGATTGAGCGAGTTATCATATTTCAACAAGTCTCGATGCACCCGGCGATTGCCACCATGGTTGATGCAGATGGACGTAAAGGTATCTTTCAACCCTCTTGACTTCATGGAGGCGATCAGGTACTTGGTCAGCTGAGCATGACGATCTACAGAATTTGTGATCCCGGTCATCCCGCTGAAAATCCAAGCGCCGATGATTATGTAGTCCCTGCCAACTTCATCTTCAACCGAGTCGTCGTTCTCAGTAGCTTTCATTCTCCTCGAATTCCCTGTAGACTTGAATGGTGTCAATTTCAAAAGTTTGTAACATGATCCCAGACGAAAGTCGCCGTTGATCCGAAGTTCCCTTGCATATCCCTCAGCCTCTTCAAGCGAAAGAACCAGATCATTCTCATGGTCCTCATTGGGCTGGGGCTTCCGCCTCGCAGGTACCGCCACACCTTCCTTCCACGATTTGAGGTAGGGGACGTAATCCTTCACATCCATATATATCCGCTCACCGCTAGATGACTGAAAGTAAGGTCTTGTACCCGATCTCCAAACGAAATCGAACCCCTCCTCCATGCACCTGTACCCAACGGATAGAACAGAAGGTGTGCTAGGCAACACATATGGATGACTGTCAATACCCAATGAAGGAACTGCGATGTTGGACTGAATCTCAGCAGTGCTAGGCCCGTTAGCCGTCACAATACCGATAGGGTTTTGGGAACGATGGCTTCTCAAAGATCCGAGATCCCCCTGTGACACCAGGTCCTGGGCGCTGCCGGTATCCGCGATCCACTCGATGTCGAGCTGCTGGGCTTCCGCTTTGGTAGCTGCAACACAGGTAGCTTCAATGTGTTTCGGAATGCACTTGTCGCAACCGAATTCCGTGTCACATTCATAACCGCACTTAGCCCTTATCCCGGAACCATATGCATCCAGAGTTGCTTTAAGCATCCTGGCTGTCGTCAGTGCATCTTTGACATCCTGTTGACTGGGTCTAGGAGGTTCCCCACCGAAGGACTTCAAGTACCTCCGTGTCTCGGGTTCTGTCGACAACATCTTTCCGTCAGGTGGGATGTTGATGAGCATCGGATTATCGTCGAAACGAATAGCTGGCAACGCACATGAAAAGGTAGATGACATGTCACCACGACTATCGGGCATATCCTTCCGGAATGCATAAGCAGCGTCGGCTTGGGTACCCGATGCCGCGGCGATCAATGCCCCTAGGATGCAGACTGCAGCGGGGACCTTTGGTGACTTAGGACCCTTTCGCTTGTCCGAACCCTTGCTGCCCTTAGAGTTCTTCGACCCTTGAGAGCCCTTCGAGTTGGACCGCGACTTACGATGGCCTTTCTTGTCTTTCCCCTTGCTGCCTGCGCTTCCTGGCCTTCCCCCCTGAGAGCCGCCCTGTGACGTCGCAGCAGCGCTTGGCTTGCCTGTGTGGAGGAACGTGCATGCACTTCCTTTCTTGCATCGTCCACTCTTCCAGAACTTGCATTCTCTGGGCTTTCCGTCATTGTTGTTGCCGGATGGTGAACGAGTGCGGCCTCCACCTCTTGAATGCGACCGGCCTCTCTTCTCAGGGACCTCATGCTTGTACTTGCACTTGTCGCCTTTGCTACACTTACCGTTCTGTACGAACTCAAAACAAAATCCCTTAGGGACGAACTTCTTCTTGGGAGCGGGGGCGGATGGTTTCCCATCAGCACCATATTGCTTGGCAATCCGTTCCCGGTTGCGTTCAAGACGCTTGCGACTCAAGTAGTTCGTAGCCGCATCATACAAAAACTTGTAGGTCTTCTCTGGCTGCCCTGGTGTAGCCCTTTCATAGATGTTGATATCATGTGCGAGGTCTTTGAAGCGCTTAATCTGCCTATGGAACAAGGGCTCAAGGAAGTTCTCATCGGGGGTAGTCTGGATCCCTGACAATACAGTTTCCCAGTTATGCATGAACGTCTCAAGCTTCTCGTTGACCATCTTGACTGACAAGAGATCCCCGAACTCGTAAACTGAACCATGCTGTGCGTTGGTAGAAAAGAAATTATCCAACTTGAAAAGCACTTGTCGTCCCCGAACAAGTCTCCCGGCATTCGCCTCTCGCTCCTTGAAGGTATCGACCTGTCTCGCAAAGGCACCTTCCAGGATGTTAGTGACCGCCGACAGTACCTTGGCATCCAAAGTGACGAACCCTTCCGGGTCGTGAAGATCTTCTTCCTTGACGTCTTTCTCCCAAACCTTGGAAAGCCACGAAAAGGCATCATCGGGACGATCGGATGCGGCAACAACCGCTTCGCGAACCCTTAGCCTCCAGTTCCTGTAGCTCTCAGGTTGCGGGAACTTGGGGAAGGTAATCTTCTCAGCTTCTTTCACTTTGGGCTTGTCGTCTTTTTCGGGCTTTTCACCACGGTCACCAACAGCTTCACTCATCCGCTTAAGGAGCTTCTTCATTGTCTTCTTATCAATGCGGGATGATGAAGAACTCGAATCACCGGAGCTACTGCTAGAGCTAGATGGGGAAGACGAAGGATCTCGCCTACGTCGCCTGCGCGACTTCTTCTTCTTCTTATGCTTCTTATCCTTCTTGGACTTCCGACTGCGACGATCATGATCATCATCGCCTCCACTGGGGCCGTTGCCATCAGGCCCACCGCCACCACCACCGCCACCTGGGCTGGAGCCATCTGGAGAGGTTCGCCTCCCGGCGTCCGTCGCCTGTTCCGTAGGAGTGTCACCTCCATGCTTCGGGGTGGAAATGGGATGTACGGGAATGCCAGGTGGAGGCCCTTGTGGAATTCCCTCTTGAATCCTCAAAGCAGCATCTCTAGCTTCGAAATCTCGAACCCTGGAGCTTAATGCGCTATTCTGCTGAATCAATACCTCAGTCTGCTGGCGCTGGGCGTGAAGCTGCCTCATCAGTTCATCCATCCGAGACGACATGTCAGCGACCTCATGGGATCGCATCGCATCATTCTGACGGGCAGAAGTTTCCACTTCGCGAAGGCGCCTGGCATGGCTGTTGGCTTCCTCTAAAGCTCTACGGGCAGCTTCCGCTTGCCGGTTGGCTTCAAGGACAGCGAGTTCCCTCGCGCTTTCGGTTTGCTGGAAACGAGCTTCACCTTGACCCATTTCAGACCTCTGAATCGACAACGCAATGTTAGCATTGCCTAATTCGTTCCTCAACTTGGTCACCTCTGCAAGCCCACTATTGTACATTGCACGGAGCTGCTCCTGATGTTCTGCTCCCAATTCGCCGATAATCTGATTGTGTCGTGCCTCGGCGGCAAAGGCGACCATCGGAGATGTATCCTGATTAATCGTCAACTGCCTGGCATCGACAACCTGAAGGTTCTGGGTGAGGCTTGCTTGATGGAGATGAGGTGAATAAATTGGTGTTGATGGGCTGGGCACGCCCGTAGCATGAGCCAATGGTCCAGGTATTCCTACCGGAGTAACAGGTGTAATAGATCCTGGCGTAGTAGGGACACGTTCTCTAAGCAACGAATCAATCGGAGAGTACGCTGCATCATGTGACATGATTGCCAGTCCGTCATTCGGCAAATGACTATCACCTGTTGGCATTAATGGAGGAAATCCTTGATCACTTGCTTCATCAGTTGCCAATGTCATATCTGAGATACCCGTTGGCACTGGCTCGGCTGTGTCCTCCATTCCGGTGTTACCTGCAGGATTTCAGGAGCGACCTGGAAAAGGATATGGCTCGACTAGGCTACGGCTGATAACCTATAGATAGTGCACGACAGCACGAATCGTACACTCACTTTTTCTTGAGCCATGCAACAGTAATGGTCGGTAGACATACGTACAAAGAGCAATAAAACAGCATTCACAGGGAGTTTAGGGTTTAGGGTTCCATCAAAGGAGGCTTTAGATGGGGTTAGGGGTTAGGATTTCAGAAAGGGTTTAGGGTCGCTCAAAGGAGCTTCAGGGTTCAGGGAGTCTAGCATTTAGGGAGTTTGGACCTGCAGGAGAGGTTCTGGTCTAGTTTAGAGTTTAGGCCCGGGCCCAGCCCTAAGCCCAACCACTCAACAAATCTGAACCTAAACTCCAAACCCAAAGCCCCACCCCCCTCAAAAAACATGCTGAACTCCAGGGCCTTCAAATCTGCGAGGGCCGGCTTGCCCAACTCCTCCGCAGCTGTGTTGGTGGGCCCTCTGAAACCCGACAGCCTTCAATTCAGGCTTAGGGTTGAAAAACTAGCCTGCTAAGACAGATAGCTAACATACATTTCATATGTCTCATATGTAAGGTATACACTTCACAATGGCTCACCTGTTTCTATGGTTGGTTGGGGACCGCAACCTACTACATGTTTCCCTGAAGCCCGGTGCTCCGTACCGAACACGTTCCCCTGCGCGGAATTACAGTTCTCAGAACATCTCCGCAGCTGCGACCACTCATACCCCACCCAGCAAGTCTTCAGTCCTGGACCGCTAAGAACTAAAGAGACCCTGAAACCCCTTTTAGACCCTAAAGGCCCCTGAACCCGAAACTCCAGGCGCAAGGCCTTGTGCCGAGATGCAGAGCTCGCTCTATTGCGCTTTCTATTTCAGGAAGGAACCCCTTGCGAGCACCCCATTAAATTAACTTCTGCAAAGCCCTCGTAACACGACTATGCAAATAAGTTCGTGACGCACAAAACTGCAAACGATGTCCTCCTCGGTGGAGACGAAATCCAAGATGTCATCGACTACCTGGAGAAAGTTGCGTATTTCATCTGGTCTTCGTATACGTAGAGAGGCCGCCGCATTGGGTAAAGGGTGTAGGAAACATAGCAGAGTACGTGCCGCGATAAAATGGTCATACAACGAAGATGTTGGTAGCAGGGACCCTGTGGCAAGAGTTCATGTAACCGGTAATTACATAAATCTCACTAGGCCACGCAGACTCTCGCCATCTCAATCTCAATCTCCATATATCTCTCTCTCTCTCTCTCTCTCTCTCTCTCTCTCTATGTATATAGACATACACACATGTCAAATGCATAGTGCATAACCTAAACACGACATGACATATCTTGAAGCCCGACAAAGACCTGATCAAAAACCTCTTGACACCCAATACAACCAATTGCCATTTTTTAAAGCTCTCAACGCTAGACAATCGCTCGGGCGAGCGAGCGATCTAACATTGAACACTGATCAAATTCCGTGAGCCTTAAACATACGTATATCCTAAACCCTAAACCCTTTTTGCTAAAACCATACACCCTAAAGACTTAATTGAAGCCTTAAGATCCCGAAATCGGAGTCAGCCTGAAAGGCTAGGCCGACGTAAGCCCCAAAGCGGTAGCAGCACTGACCTCAGAGCCGGGAACGGGCTCAGAAGCGAAGCTACCCAGATTGAACCCTCGACCGAAGACAGTTCACTCACTGCCTTAGTCAGGTCACTGGAAATTCCACGATAAAACTCTTGGTCGTGTGCGCTGGTGCGCCGAGGTACGGTCCTTTTTACCGAATGTCCGTCAACGGCTGATGGGTCTGTCGCAGCAGACCATGCATGTAACGAAGCACATCGCCCTTCCTCTTGCAGCCCAGTTTGGTGGGGCCGTCAGGTGAACAAGAAGCGCCACAACGAACAAGTAGAGGCATCATTATCCCATGCTATGCAGCCTCAAGGTCAATCACCTAACCCTGCAATTTGAAACCCATCAGTCTTGGAACCGGTTCCCACAACAAAAAAAGCGTGATTCGCGAACCCTGATCCCTGAAGCATCAAGCCGAGCCACTTTCGAAGGCATCTGGGTCCCTCTCCTGCAGAGGGTTTGAGGGTGAATGGTTGGGGCTCTGGGATCATGTAAAGCATGAGCTCTACAAGCCTAAGCCCGTTTTGTTAGCCCAGACTCAGGAGTGTAATCTTGGAAGTTTTTGCGCAGGTAGATTCTGCAACTTGAAAGTACAGTAGCGACATAACCGACGGAAACACGCTCCTTCCTCCTGCAATGGTCAAAACTCACCAATGTTTGGAATCTTCAATCATCCCGGTGCCCGTCCGCAACTGCAATAGAGCAACTCCAAATTTAAATGGGCTGAGGGTACAGCCTGTTTTGCCTCCTCTCTTCAGGATTCTAGACCCTCGGTCAATTGATACGCCTGCTTGCTCAGCACCGCTGCTGCGTGGCATGCCGCGGCCAGGAGCGATGCGGTCTTGTAGAAGCTCTTGGCCAAGTAGTCCTTTGAAGTTGCTGTTGAGATGTCTAGGAGTCTAGGCTGAGCGAATTTTGGTCTCGAAATACAGACGATGATTGTGAAGATGCTTTTGCTGACTACAAGGAGATGGTGCGACAAACTCGGACATGCTACACGATCCCATCCCAAGTGGTGGAGCGGTAATCCTTGGTCCCTGCACTGTTCTGGGCTTTGGGTTTAGGGGCTCAGTGCACAACGACACTGAAACAGTGAGCCTCGTAGACCGTATCAACTCTCTCTCTCTCTCTCTCTCTCTCTCTCTCTTTCTCTCTCTCTCTGCGTTCCCATCGTCGAACCCTCAGCCTTAATCTAGCGCCCTCGCAAACAACACATCAGGAATAATAAAACCATGATCTAGGTGGATAGCTGGGAAAGGGTTTGCGGGACTACGTTAATAGGGAGCCCGAACAAGCATTGTTCGAGCATAGACGGTAATGTCAAGCTCTAGGCATCACCGCGGCACAATTGTCTGGAAAAGTCTAGATGCTAACCCCTCGAACCCCCCTAACTAATAAAGCCCAAACCGGAGCTAAAAAATGACAGTCCCAGAATATTGGGGGTAACTATATATAGTTACCTGACGTATAATCCCACTTACACCTACAAATGAGATATACATACAATTAGTTACCTTACCTCGAACCCCGCTTATACCCTAAAACTATAGTTAGCGTACTTATACCTCCACTTATAACTACCCATGAACCCTCAGACTACACCCTAAACCGTAAACTAACCCCACTTATAGCCTATACCCCTGAACCCTCGGAGTTGCCGAAAATAGAGGAACCTAAATAGTAGGATCCCTGCCCCTAAAAAAGGTACCCCTAATTCTCGAAACTCTCACTTATAACTCCCATGAACCCTTGGAGTGTCCGACCTCCAGGGAGTAGTCCACGGCCTCGAAGCGCACGGCGGATTGGGCCAACTCCCCTCGGCCGAAATCGGCGACGACCTGGAGGAGTCCAGGGTCAAGTCTTTAAGGGCTTCGGGGGATTTGGGCGGGTTTGGGGTTTTAAGCGCTTGAGGGTGGAGGTTTCGGGCTTGTTAGGGCTTGCGAAGAATTGAGGGTGCAAAAGGGTTAGCGGGCACTTATCGGCGCCCATGCTAGGAGATGCCAGGCGAGGTGCTTGGTGCGTAGCCGATCGGAGGTGAAACCTATACTTGACTAGGGTCTTTCACGCTTTATGCCAAGAAGGGGTCCCAGTTATCAGAGTACCAACACTTGGGTCTCGAGATGTGCTTGCGTATATATCTGTAAAATATAGGTAGACAGACAGAAGATAGACGGATCGAAAGAGAGATAGATCGATCGAAGTGAAGAAATCAACAGCCACATAGAGAGATGCAGATCGAGATAGAGAGATAGATATAGATGTAGAAGCAGAAACAGATATAGATAGTCTATGATATAACGCATGTGTACTCTGTGTACTGTGACATGTAGTTGTCGACTCCTTCAAATAGGGTCCCATGGCCTTCGAAATCAGCAGCACGGTTGGAAGGCTGCCAATCTCCGCTACAAGCACAGAGGCCGTGGCAAACCTGGAGAGCAAAACTCTGTTGAGCGGCACAACCCTGAACCCTACAAGACAAAATTTGCTGAGGGTTCAGGTTTGAAGAACTAACTCTAAACCATGAGGCTGGCTCAAGCAAACCCAAAACATGCAGCGGTTTGGCTGAGGGAGAACGGGGGATTCGGCATTCTACTGACGTTCTGGCTGGGTAGAACTGCTGGGAGCCAACTCGTCACCTTTCTAAAAGGTCGGGCTTCTGGGCTGCAGCTCGGCCTGAGACACCAACCCAACAAGCGAACTGGATGAGCTAAGAAAGGGGACAGCGAGGGATCACAACCGAGGGGCAGGATTCCTCCCTACAGGCCCACCAGCCTGAAGCAAACAGAACATCAACCCTCAACACCTGTAGCCACGTAATGCCACCTACCATCCCACGACCCCACTAAACCCTATATATAGTAGGCCCTATAACTACAAAACCCTGTCTATCTATCTATCCATCTCTCTCTCTCTCTCTCTCCCTCTCTCGCTCTCTTTGCTATGGGCTTGGAGCGCTCTCTCTCTCTCTCTCCCGGGCTTGGGGATGGGTCAACATCCCCGGGCCATGCAGGCCCCCGCGCTGTGTTAGCGGATTGAAGGGGAGTGAGGAGTGCTGTCAATCCTGAGCATAAGGCTAAAGCCGTTACATTGCATACATAACAATGCCTCAGGATGTTACAGCATTCGAACACGTGCTAGAACATCCCCCGAATCCACAGCGACTGTGTAGGAGTAAGGCAAGCTAAGAATGCCAAAGAAGTTGTCGCTGTGATGTCTAGAGGTGTTCCCCTGGACCTCAGTTGCCCAAATTTGCTTGAACACAAAGTAAAGATTCCCTCGGGCTGCACCTGTGTCTTCGAAAGGTGATGCCGATGGATTCCCCCGCTCTTTATGTCAACAATTGCACAGCAATCACTCCCCGGCCTAAGGGCAGTACCATATGTGCTTCACGTGTGGGGTTCACCATCTCTCGGGTTGCTCGAAAAGGGAGGTTGGCAAAACGTAACACCGGATGAATTAGCACACCTCCTAAGTATTTGCATCTGAATTGAAATCGAGTGCGGCAGGCGGTTTGAAAGTTTCGGCCACAAGGCCTCAAGAAGTGCATCTGAATTATTATTGCGTTCGGCAGGCGGTTTTGAGAGTTGGGGAACAAAGCCCCTTTAATATACAGCTAGGCGTTGCAGGTCGGCAGCGATCCTAGATTGAAACTCGGATTGAAGTAAAGCTTGCAAAGCATCCCCCGGTGTTGGGAATGAAAAACTTAGGGAAAGCGGGAGGGTTCCCCCGAAGTCCAAACCACAACCCAACCAAAGACTAAAAGGCCTCACAAACACACACCGATCCAGCTTTCCCCCTTGCTTCGGAAGTACTGGTGCATACGAATTTTGCCCCTCAGTGCACGAGGCTCAGCACTCATCACGTCTCCCCCATGTAGTCTCGCTCACGCTTCTCGTTGTAGTTTGCGTTTTTTCGGGGTTTTGCCAGACGTTTGCATCCCCCCGGTAGCCTCAGTGTTCTTCTCTTCGTCGTCAGGCACGGGTGGCGTCATGGCCGGGGTATTCCCCGCTTCCCCCCAACGGTTGAGCACATCTGAGCTGGAAGTTGGCACGTGTAGGCCAGTAGCAGCGTCCCCCCATCGGCCCACTGCATCTTCCCACAACCCCCTCATACTCCGCCATTGCTGTAGGCAAACTTTGTGATCTCGTCCCCGTGCCACTTGCTCAAACTTGTAGTAGGCGGCGTTCCTCTCCCAGCACTCAAGTAGCTGTGGATCGGGTCCCCCGACGGCTTTTGCACGAGGTCGATGCTGAGGTCTGTGAGGTCGCTTGCTGTCGCGCCCTCGTAGAAGTTCTTGCAGTGTAGAGGTCCCCGGCTTTGAGAAAGTTCGTGCGACCGTGCTCCTGAGGTCGGATGGCGGCGTGCGGTCGCACGGGGTTTCCCCTTCCTGTGACGGGGGGCTCACTGCAACTCCTGACCTTGAGCCAAAATGGCTTGAGCCAAAATGGCTCTCTCTCTCTCTCTCTCCCTCCCTCGCTCTCTCTCTCTCTCTCTCTCTCGCGCTCTCTCTCTCTCTCTCTCTCTCTCTCTCTCTCTCTCTCTCTCTCTCTCTCTCTCTCTCTCTCTCTCTCTCTCTCTCTCTCTCTCTCTCTCTCTCTCTCTCTCGCCACATATATACTCTCGCCCAATATCTCAATACAATACATATATATATATGTATACATACATACATATATACCCCTCAACAAAATCCCTCGTTTTGCGGGCAGCAAACAGGAAGTCACCCACCAAGGTGGCGCTTCGCTCACCCAGGCGCAAGTGGGCCGTCTCCTGACAGGGATCTTGGGGTCTACGGTTTAGGGGGATTAGGGCCTAAAGATTACGGTTAGAGGAGGCCTGCATTCTATGTAGCACGTTGAAGTTGAGGGAGTGCCGTTTCCAGCTTGCAGCTACAGAGTGGGCACCCTGGGCTTGGGCATTTGTCTCAAGTCTTGGCGTTTGCTCATGCCGTAACTCAGCTTTCCAAAGTGCCCCTCTGATATCTCAACGACGATGCATCGCCAGATTATCGTCCGGACCTTTTCTCAGTGTAGCACTGCAGGATGGAAGGTAGACTCTGCTGGCAGACGCCTAGACTACTAGACTAGGACTAGGTTTCGTTGCGATGGGATAATGCCGAATTATGCTGGGGAGGTCTAGGAGATTACGCGCATTACGTAGTAACTCAAGCCAAGGCAGCAACCTCGAACCCCGATTAAACAGCCGTCGCCTCCCCGCGGCGCTTGTCGGCGTCGTCAAGGATGTCGTCCTCGGATTCAAAACCCCCCCCCCCCCCCCCGACTTCAAGTTCTATGCCTCAACCCCCCGAAACCCTGAACACAACAACTCTGAACACAAAGAGACCCTAAAAAACGAGGTCCGAGGAACATGCACCAGGGAGGCGGAATGCAACACCTCCACTGCAGCCGCCAGGGCAGCAACATTGGCCATGGCTGCCTCTCAGGTTCATTCAAAGGATGTTTGATCAAAGGGTTTCTGCCTCCGACTTCGCTAGACGAAGCTCGCCGGGCGACAAGTGAGTTTGAAGTTTAGAGCGTGGGGTTTACAGCCTAGGGCTGCCGAGGAAGCCGGGTTCAGGGATTACGAGCTTCAGCCATTCGCGTTTGGTTGTTGTTTAGGTCAGGGGTTTTGGTTTAGAGCTTCAGTTTTACACAAAGTAGCTACACCTCCGTGCCCTTTCGGTATGGGTTGGATAAGTGTTTGTTGACATGCCAGACTTCGCAGGCAAGCCCGCCGTCAAGGTCTTGAGTGGTCCCGGAGACCTTGCTTGGTAGAGTATCAAAGCCCATGTCTCCTACTCGGATGGCTTCTGCACACGGTTCAAGTAGCTTCAAACTGCGACTCTAGAAAGCTACAGAAAATCTTCCACATGTTGCCGGTCACCAGTACAGTTGGGGCTCTGCTTCAGCCTGGCGGCCGAAATAGCCATGGCGCAGATCCATCAGCAACAGATGAGAATGAAACCCTAAACTTAAACCCGAAACTAAACCTAACCTCTAAAAACCTGAAGCCCTACGTAGTTGGTCTGGCTTCATTGGCGGGCGGGCTTTGGGCTCAATGCAGAGGCCTCCGAAGCTCCCGTCGCCGCGGCCGTGAGCAAAGTGAGAGCAGGTCGCAATCGCTTGCCACCTACAGGAGCAGATGTAGGGTTTAGGGTGGTGGAGGGTTTAGAAAGTGTAGGGTGATGTAGGGTTCAATGTCGGGGCTTATATAGCAGCTAGAATAAGGCTTTCAGGGAAAAAGCAAACTATAGTAACTACTTATGTACTTTAGTCTATGGGGGTACCCAGGGACTACAAGAAGTGACGTTGTCAATCGGCTTCTACAAAGTAGGCTTGAAGGTGCTCGGGGCTCGGAGTTTACTTACCTTTGGTTAGTAGGGAATGGAAGAATGATAGTAGTAGTAGTAGTAGTAGTAGTAGTAGTAGTAGTAGTAGTAGTAGTAGTAGTAGTAGTAGTAGTAGTAGTTATAATTGTACCCCATTCCTCCATTCCCTACTAACCAACGGTACGCTTAGGGATTTAGAGAACCCGGTGTTCCGACTCGCACTCTCGCGCAACACAGGCACGGCTTCAGAAGGTCAGGCTTGCTACAGAGCTCGAGTTGAACAGCAGCCTTCCACAAGTATCCAGAGTAACATGGAAGGACCAATTTTCTGCGTACAGGTAATTATTGTAAGGCCTATATATTAGCTAAGCACCTTATTCCACTGCCAGCCCGGCCTGATGCGAACAAGCGCAGAACCTCCTCGCGCACCTTGGGCAAACGTGGGACGCAATGCGAAGCCAGAGATGGAACGACGAAAAGAGGGGCATCTTGGGCTTGATGTAGGGGCCTTTACAATTAGAACAGGGGATTAGGAAGCCCCCAAAATAGTGTTGGTGCATGGCAGTCCCTGCTCAAATTTATGGAAGTTTAGCGTCTAGGCTCATCAGTCTGCTAACTTTGCCATACGAATCTTGGCTTCTTCTGGGCTGGAGACGACCCTAAACCCTAAAGGCCCTAAACATAACCTAACCCAGAAAGCCTGGCCATGCACTGTGCCAGTTGCGAGTGCTGCAACCGTAATAAAGGGGCCGGTTACAAAGCCCCTGTCTCCCTTCAGCTTAACCCACGGCCCACGGCTCACGAAAAAAACTCTAATTTTACGGGGATCCAATTCTGTATTGCGGCATGTAGAACCAAGGATTGCCCACGCAGGTGTCAGTGAGGTTCCTGTATGTAAGCTGAGTTCACCGTTGGCATAATCATGTGTCGCAACATAACGTCAAGAACACTAGCAACGTCAAAAGTATGGGTTTTTGATACCAACAACAAGGAGATACTAACGTTTCTGCTCCGCGCCTTTCAGGCCCTGAGGGTCCTTCCGGGCGCTGAGAGTTCAGGCAGTGGTCTCATGCAGATGCTCGAAAATCTTGCCAGCTCTTTTTTCGTAGGGTTTGGATCCCAAACTTTTGCGATAAATGCTGCTATGCGAGCCGTTGAGATAATGACCCTAACACAGGCCCGAATGAATAGCATCCTGCTGTAAGCACGCTTACGCAAGCCCTAAACGAGACAATCCTGCTCATCATGAAAAGGGCATCTAAATAAAGGTCCCATAAACGCTAGGAGACCTCTCATACTGCGTGATTTCTTGAAGCTGTTGTGCTCATGGCTCATGGGCCTTGGGCTTTCATTTGTCTTGGGTCTCAGCGGAACCACAGCCCAACAGACCGTAAAACGTTCTTCAGGGCCTTGACGGTGCGTAGACTTCAGGTCCAAGGCCTGGGTAGGGTCTCGGGTTCAAGGTTTGTAGTTGGGGCTGTCAAGTTCTCAGCCTCAAGACCGAACTCTAAACTCTAAGCCCGAATTCGAAACCTTAAACCCTTTGACCGAAAGCCCAGCGGCCAACTCGCTAGCAGCAGGCTCAGCCAAGGAAACACCATCCAACTTGGCGTTCACGGTCCCGAGCTCCTAATAGCGTCTGGAAGGAGTCATTGGCGGAAGAAAACAATGAAATCAACAACTAAAGCAGTAGATATGTCCATGCGTATAGAAGTATAAATGTGCATAGCATCTTTATGCACTCAAAAACCTCGGTATCTCTATTCTGTACTACTCGGTAAGGGCTCACTTCTGTTGTGATCGTGGTGCTGCTGTGCCCCAGGCCTTTACACGGCTGTCTAGATACATGATGATACATGGTTTCTCCGGACTTTTTGTACTCTGTGCCTTGGCCCTAGGAACCCTAGTGGCTTCAGTTGACACCTGTGGGGTGTTCACATAATCTTTGGGTCGCTCGCAATTTTTGCGTACAAGCTACCCGAAGGGGCATCCGAGTGCTGCGAAACCCAGAGCAGCAAAGCACAAGAACTGCAGAAGCACTGTAAACCGCAGTGTTTGATACCAAGGATCCCTCAAACCTCGAAGCCTTAAACACTGGTTCCCACAGACCCTCAATCAGTGTTAAAACCTTAAAAACCGTATCCCCTGGTCCGTGAGCTTGGGGTCTCGGGCTTGGGGCATATAGGATTTGACTGTGATCGATAAATAATAAAGCTACTGTTTCAAGCGCTATTAACTGTAGCTGAAACAGCCTGTTGGGGCTCCTGGTGATGGTGGGTCGATATCGCCTACTGTGTTTGCGGGTATGTGACTACAAGCAATGTAAGGGCTTGTTGGCTTGCAAGATCTGTTGGAGCGCTGCGGGCTGTCTTGTGCTTGTGTCATCAAGCGTCCCTGAGCAAACATACCGGAACCATAATTAAAGACAACATCCAACATCAGAGTTAAGAGAAACGTCAGACCCTAAGCCAATGCTTAGGACTCGATGCGAGACCCGGAAAAAAGAGCCCGAGTGCATCGTAGAAGCTACTAGGACCGGAGCCGTAACTTGATGTTGATAAGCTTTCGTATTATCATGAGGAATAGCGCGGATACGGGTAAAAGAACTAACGCTGACAGATCTACATAGGTTACCATGAAGAACAGCTCCGACTGTTGAGGAACTTAGCCTGTACGTTCGAGCTCCTGAACAAATACCTTCGTAAGCCCTGTGCAAACAAAGTCTAGAGACATCAATAAACGCCCACATGCCACCCCATTCCAAATCTTATCCAAGCCAGGCATCCCGACCCCAGCCCCAAAACCCCACTTTCGCGAAAGACGTGCCTTGCCGATGCAGCGGAAAGAAGCCTGAAGTGCTGCCTGGCCGCATTGTATAGAGGGGTCTCCATGCTAAGAACAGGATTGCTCTAAAAGCTTCATTTAAGGGGTTAATTATAGAAGGGCTGCTACAAGGGTGACTATGATGGTTGATAGAAGACCCTTCTAGAGCCCTGACAAAGCCCTGTACATAGTAGAACCTGCTTGTGCGAAAACCCTACTACTACTACTACTACTACTACTACTACTGCTACTACTACTACTACTACTACTACTACTACTACTACTACTACTACTACTACTACTACTACTACTACTACTACTACCTACTACTACTACCTACTACTACTACCTACTACTACTACTACTACTACTACTACTACTACTACTACTACTACTACTACTACTACTACTATACTACTACTACTGCTACTGCTACTGCTACTGCTACTGCTACTGCTACTGCTACTGCTACTGCTACTGCTACTGCTACTGCTACTGCTACTACTACTACTACTACTACTACTACTACTACTACTACTACTTGCAAGGACTCCGCTGTACCTTCGGTCCGCCCTCTTCCTTGGAGGGCCACGTCGGTGGCGGCTCCTGAGGGGGTGGGGGCACTGCTCTTTGTGAGAAGACAGAAGACATCCGGTAATCTGCATTGACGTGATGTGGTTGGCTTTTTGTTGGGACCTCGAGGTGTTTAAGGGCCAGGATTCAGGATTCAAGTCTCCAGGCTTAAGGGTTCAGGATCTTGAGTCCCAATTGTGAACGAAGACTTATAGGCCTGAACAAAACTCAACTAGGGCTTACGGGATCTTTCTATACGAAACTGAAGGAACCCCGACGAGCAACCTGACGAAGGAAGTCAGGTCCCTCCACACCGGCCCATGAATAAGACTCCAAGCCCAACCCCCAAGTTTTGGCAGGCAGCCCTTAACCCCAAACCTAAATGCTGAAACTGGGACCTTTTGAGCCCAGAAGCCCGCCCTTAACGCAACCTAAACCCTAAAACTCGAAGGCCTTGAGAACCCCGATCCTTTGGCCGCCAAACTGCCCTTGATTCATTATAGTATCGCTCATCTGTCAAATAACTACATAATTACTGTGTACTATGTCGTGCTTCTTTCGGTGTAGGTACCGCTGATTCTACTGTTCGGCTTCATTCAATCAAACCAAAAAGAAGACCCAAAGGGTACTACTGGGGAACCCTACGCTGTCTTAAAATCTTCTGTTGCATTACACCTTAACCCGCTGAAACCTACTTTTTGTAGGGTCCCTATAGATATTTTTTGACACTCACTCTCGGACTAGCCTGGCGAGGTCTGCAGATATAGATATTAGAGTTTATCATAAATGTCTATATGTTTATAATATGAACCTACAAAAGGAGTAGGCTCACCTCTTCGGCCGTGGCCGCATGCGAAGCTTGGAACCCGAAGCTGGACCACTCAAACGCGAAGCAGCCCAAAGCCTGAACCTTCTATATTATACTGAACTTAGAACCCTAGCAAAGATTACAATTTTAGCTGTTTCAGAGGGATTACAATAACCAAAAATTCAGAATGATTTCTAAGTACCCCTAAGTATAGTTCAACCGTGCGTTGGTCTGAGCCCCCGCCTGGGCTGTGGGCAGCGGTTCGTCACTAAGACCTGGGCTTTGGTCTGATAGAGTAGGCTTTGTTAGAGCAAGTAGTTTGGTTGGGATTTGTGGTGTGACCGTACAGCAAAGGGGCGAGACGAGATAGATATAATCAAACGTGTGTGCATCTTCGGCATAGTCTTGGCGATCTTGGGAAGTTTTTTTTCCCGACGTGAGCTCAGCCTTGCAACCTGAACCTCGCGAAAGAGGGCTCTAGATGTCAGGGATCGTCACATCCGTCGACATTGTGGGCCCTCCCAGAATTGCAGCATGAATGCGTCAAGTCACCCCTAGACCATGCCGGAGGCTAAACTTTTGCAGAACCTTTCAGTTGCGGTTTGATGTTCAGACCGCTGCTCCGTTCAGCTTCGGGCCTTTTGCAATGAGCTCCTCAAGCCCTCGATCGCTCACCTCGCGGCAACTGATCGGGTTTGCTCTACAGAGGGACGAGTATCCTCGGCCCCCAAAGCAGGTTAAGAGTTTACATGGTAAAGGAGGGAAGGGTTATTATAGGACTCCATGGTTACCCACTCAGAACCTAAGTCTAAGTGTGGTAGATCAGGGCTTTCAGTCCTGGGGACTTGGGATTGCCGGATTTGCTCGCAGATATGGGCGGTTGTCAATATTAGGGTCCCGTCTTGGGTCCTTAATGTAATACGGCACCTATTATTTAGGGTACCCGAAAAGGGACCATAATTTTGATAACCACCCATATGTGTAAGGTTTTTTATGCGGATGCATGCCGGAGTTGCTGGGAGACCATTTCCGCTGAGTGCAACACACAGGCAAACGACGTGCTCATCGGCAAAACACACAGACACACACACACACACACACACACACATGCACCGAAATCCGTCAGTACTCCCTCGAAACTGAAAACCCTCAAAGAAGGACATAAAATGAACTCCCTTTAAAGGGCCCCAGCTTCCCCAGGAACTGACCTGTCTTTCTACCAGGAGCTGCCAGACCCCCTGCAAAGCTGAGAAAACCCGAACACCGTACCTCAAACACCGAGTCAACCACGTGTATACATATACATACATGTTTATGTATATTTACACGCATACATATATACACATTGCTCCAGTGTCTGCAAAACCCTTTCCAATTCTTCAATCTGCGAAGATCCTGTATTGAACGAGCCAAAAAGTTTGTAACCCCTTGCGACTATGCATGATATTTCAACAGTCTTGCGGTCAGTACCCATTATAAACAAATTTCAAGCTTGACTTTGAACCTCTGGAAACAGCGCCGATCATCTGCCCAGTATAAACAACACCAACACCAAACTTGAACAGCAAAGGCCGCATGGTATAGTAGGACTTCACCATAGTGATAGAGGGGTCTTCATAATTCGAGTCGGGTTTTGGTTCACAATATATACTGTCATTTCATTACATTTCATTACGACCCATATCATAGAGTTGGCAGCATGCCATCTCACAACCTACATTTCCCGGATCGTATAGGACAAATACAAACGAAGCACCATGGATCTCAATTTGTCAGCTTGCCTTTCGGCCATGCTGCTGTGGGTGCAAAAGCTTCTGTCATAACCAAAACTGGTCTCACTAGGAAATATCCCCCACCAATACCCGGCTTTGACATCCTATATGTGCATATGTGTGAGAAAGAATCTAGAGCTACTCCCGGGACTATAAAGAGCTACTAGTACTGTAACCAGCTGCTAGTTGCCCCTAAGCCTACCCAAAGGGTTCAAAGTACCCATATAGTAGAATGTAGGCTTTCTATATTAGGAATTACTAGTATGATTTGGGGAAGTATTCCCCATAACATTTCCTAGGACCCTTTGGGCTAGAGTACAGCAAAACGGTGCAACCATCCCGGCCTGATCTCTTCGGAAACCCATGCCCTGGAGGCGCTTGGGACCTCCAAAAAAAAGGCACTTTAGTAATGTAGGGGGCCTTAGTAATTAGAATAGGGCTCCCTTAAAGGGATCCTTACAGGGTTCTGTAAGGGATCTATGGTAGGTTTCTATAATATAGGAGCCTCAATAATTGATTAGAAAAGGGTTCTAGGGCCGATTATTAATACTATAGTTATAAGGAGGAACCCCTCAAACAGTATTGGTAATTTTTTCGGCCATTTAGGCCTCTGATTACGGGTTTCGGGTTTATGGCTGGGTTTAGGGCTTGGGGTAAGCAGGAATGTAAGGGTTAGGATAAGGACTATGAGGGATGAGTGTTTAGGGTAAGTAGGGTTGGGGTTTAAGTTTCTGACTAAGATTTTGTGTAAGGTTTGTTCGGGTGATGCCCAACTTAACCGTTGAAGGTTAGAGCACGCTTGCTTGAAATATTCTAAATCCCAAACGGCCCTCAACCCTAAACCATTTAACTGCGCATGTCCAAAACCCGAGAAACCGAAACGCCTCAAGTCAAACCCGAGCCCTCAAACTTTCAAGACCTCGGCTCTAATGAAAGCATAACTCATGTGGTGTCTAATGCGTTTTTTCATGGAAAGTGACGGTTTTGCGTCGTTCACCTTGCTCGAGGCTTGCGGCGGCTTTTGCTGCTGCAAAGAACAAGCAACTAGGTCATTTGGTCACATAGAAGCATGAATAATTAGGTAGTAGCACTACTCATTACCCGATAAGGGAACCGAAGGGATACTGTTGGCAAAAACTCGGAAGGAATACACACACACATATATATATATGTATACATATATATATATATATATATATACATATCACCTTTAACTAACTGATAAAGAAAACGAATCCAGAAATCTCGCTGTTCTCGAAAACAAAACTGATCCTGGCGAGCCCGACGCAAAATTACGCCACATAAGCCCTAAACGCCTAAACCCCAAACCCCCCCTCAGGTGCCGTCGTCTGAAGACTCGTCGGGTCGAACATAAAGCTCCTCCAGCCTCGGTAAGAGAAAACAAATTCAAATTGGGAGGTGCGGAGTACGTTCAGTAGCTTCATTCTCCGGCAACGAAAAACGATTTGCAGGAAAACTTTGCACCCCATGTACATGTGCTGAAACCCAGACACCCAAAATGCCCGACCCAGGTGAAGATCTGCAGATGCCACCATGTTAGGGTGAGCGGAGTGCAGAAACGGCCAGAAACCGAGTGAACGGAAACACACTTTTACTTGTGGCGTGGGCGGTTAGTGCAATACAATAAATGTATGAGGGTTGGAAGAATGGGCAATGCTTCCTTCAAAGCTCCTGATCACAATCCGCTATCTTATACTACACCCATAAACCTATTCAACGAATGAAAGCTCCGGTACTGTATTAGCCAAGCATCATGGTCTCCATCTCCTCCACATCTGCGAAGGTAAGTCCGCGCATCTTTGGGGCGTCTTGCGACTTCTTCAAAAGCTCCTTCAACGATGATGAAAGGTGCGGCGATCAAGGTTCAAGCTTCCGGAATTTTCAAATTCGAGCATGTTGATGAAATGCTTTGTTCATCGTGCTCCTCTGCAATGGCCTTGGTGGCGAAAGTTTGCAATCGATTTACACACTACGAAACCTGAACTCGAAGGTAATTGGCAAACCCAAAATCAATCGAATCTGATGACTACCCGACCCAAAGTTGGCTCACGAGTGAAAGCTCGCGTAAGGCATCTTTGAGATTCAACTCATATTTCATATTGTAACCATATAGCAACGTATATAAACATCGAAAACCTAAAACTCACAACAAATTGCTCCTTTGTCCCAAGGCTTTGTAAACACAGGGCAGACATGTAAATGCGCAGTGAAAACAGTAAGCAACATGTAGCTAGCCCCCTGAGCCATCCAGTGGTTGCTGAACGCATTGCCCGAGCCCGATCCCATGGTACGTGCAGAAGCCTCCTGAAACGGTTTGGTACGATATGTTCTCCATGGCAGCTCATGTCCAAGCAAAGCGCAACAAAGCAACCTACAGAGTCGTGTCGAGTTACGGCATTTACCGCACCCGCTTGACAGGTCATTCAAACAAATAGCTTTTGGGTGGATCACTCCCAACCAGTGTTTCAACTGACCGAAGGTACAAGTCCTATATCCACAAATATCGGCACATGTCTGAGTAAAGCGGTGTTTGCAATTTGGTCTGTCCATCATATTCCCCGAAAGAATCAGGCAGCACGCATCAATCAACAGGGGCCCCCGGCAAATGCACACATGTTCCACAAGCAATACGTTTTTGATGCACAGATACAAGCCCCATTTCTGGGCCGAGAAAAAGTCCGCAATCCAGATGGACACAAGATATTTCACTACAGGCTACATGAAAACAGACAAGATCAGAGTGTGGTCTACTTACGCGAAGACGAGCCACACGGCGGTGGAGGGGGCGAGGCTGAAGTGGGGGAAACTCTCGTCCGGTTTTGAAGGCAACCAGATTCCGCAAACATGTCTCTCTTTCCGGCAAGTACAATGCAGTTGACGCATACTTGCCAAGGGAAAGCTTCGCCTCGCCAGCCAAGTTTCGAAGGGCTCAGGTTCGGTGAGTTCGGTGTACAGGGAACATCTTCCGGTTAGGATTCTACGTCCATGTGCAAGCACCCTTAAAACCCAAAAGGATTCAACCTGGAAGCTGCCGATCGGAGGATGGAAGACGTAAGTCTATCGTGTTACAAGAAAGATAACCGCTGTAACCACTGTTACAGTTCTCAGAACCACCACATGGGTTTTATCTGTGAACTTGGAATCCCCGCGAAGAGCCCGGAGCCCGACACAGTCAAAACAACACGTGCAAGCCGAATCTCCATCCCAACCCTCAACACCGAAGCACAACATGAAGCCTTCAGCACACTACTTTTGGGGCCTGAATAGGGTCTTGGGGTTATGTCATATTGTAAATGTTATAATCAACAAGGATCAGCTCCCATTGCCCTCTACATCCCCGTGATGGAAACTCTCCAAAACCGATTGTACACTATCTGAGTTTATGGTTATGTTTTTTGTTGTTGAGCTCCGCAGATGGCAACGCGTGGGTCCTAAAGGCCATCAATTATTTACTTCGGGTTCCAAAGTTTGTAACCGACAAACTTTGAAATACGATTTGGACCAAACAAGAACCTTCTTCATCACCAGCTGACGACCCACGATGTATGCAATAAGAGCGAACGACGGCACATGTGCGCGTGCCATTTGTCTTCAGGAGTGTGAACCCCGCTCTGCTTCAGGGCTGCTTCAAAAAAATAGGCAACTCTCAAAACCCCTTCGAAACGCCCGTAAAATAAACTCAACCCTAAACCCATACACACTGAACCTTAAATCCTAGTCATCCGAGTATTTCGGCAGGCTTTGGGGGCTCACTTGGGTGATGACGGCGGCGCTCCATGTCTTCAGTACTTCTTGGCTGTGCTGGTATTTTAGGGTTTAGGGTTTTAGGGTTGGTGTTGCGATGCTGGCCTGTTGTATGTTGGGTTTCCTCTCTTTCCGCGCTTGAGGTGTGCCAACTACCTGTACCCGATGCCCTCCACCCCAAACTCCATCCTGGTCAAGGCCCCGCGGGCTCATAAGCCGCAACATATGAGTCCTTAAAACCTAATTGCAGAAATCGAACAATTTTCCACAATCCCAACTCTACAACTTTCGAGCAGTACATGCCGAAGCCTTCAAGCAGCAACACCTAAACATCCTGATCGAAACCCATCACAATCGTAAGAAAACCCTCAGAGAGCCTTATGAAACAAACAGCTGGTAACAACAACAGCAACACCGCCACCACTACCACAAGCAGCAACAGCGACAGCAACAGCAACAGTTGAATGCTTTTGCGAGTGCCTCCAGCGCTTGCCCAGAGCCCCTTTCCACTCGGTGCGCCAGGCGCCGCATGCCACGCAAAGCTGCAGAGCCTTTCGGCTGTTTCGTCGGGAGATTTCGGGAGTCTTCTAGATTTCCAAATCTCTACAAGTTTCGCTTAGGGTTAGACTCTTAGGCGAAGCCCTTTTGGGTTTTATGGGGACCGTCTGAGGGTTATTTGGCACTTCCAGGCTTTGGAATGCTTCCGAACCCAACATCTTTGGGTTTACGCTTAATAGCGGATGTTCTGTGACTAGGGATGGGGCGAGATCCTGGAACCGAGCCGCGTACCCTAAAGAGTCCGACATCCCTCAAGCTCGGACACAGCGGCCTTACTGTAATGTTCCTGGGATTCCTGAATATGGTTACAGTATGTTACCTCTAGTCTCCACTGTAGTTCCTTTTTGGGTTTATATAACCAATTTTATATCAAGGATCCTAGTAGGTAACCGCAAAAAAGACTACAATGGAGACAATAGGTATAGTGTAATGTACCTAATGTACCCCGAAACCCTGGTCACCTAGTCCAATTCTTGAGGCCGCTATCTCGTACAAGAACTCAAAGGGCTAGGCGTGCAGTGCAGAGGAGGCACTGCTCGTGGGGCTTCCCAAAACTGTGCACGCTACTTCGGGCTCCTCGTAACATGGATCCTGCGCGTTCGGCTTCTTAAACTCCCATGTGGCTTATGGGCCATGCAAAGCGCTGGCTGCGTGTTTAGGATCATAGCTTTGAAGCCTACGAGTAGATTACAACAAACGCCAGACAGTACTCTCAATTTGAACACACAACCCCTGAAGCCACAAAACGAAGTTCGAACCCCTTGTAGGGACAAACCCTGTGTACGGCTTTAAGACCCTGCACTAACCCTTTTGCAGCAGGCCTCTCTCGCCCGGAACAGCTGAAACCGTAAACCCACTTGCCTTGGAGGTGCTGCACCTCTGGGCCACGGAGCACCTCCAAGGTTATACCCACACCACACCCCGAGCCCACACCAGAGTAAGGCACAACTCCTAAGGAGAGCCCAGAAACAAGCATGGAGCTTGACACCCTAACTACCCTTTTTCGCCTGGACTCAAGTCTAGCCAGTCTACAACCCTAGCTACCCTAAAACCTAAATCCAAGAAAACGACTGTACCCTTCGCAGAACAGTCGCAGAACGTTCTCTGTTGGGGGGCTCAGAGCCAGAGGCTTCAAGTTTTCAAGTTTTGCGGCTATATACTACCCCAAGTGTCCTAGGAATCTCCTTGGCAGGGCGGAATGCCCATGTGGATCCCAATTCTGCACGGATCCTTGAACGAGCCGGTGAAAAGCTCGAAACTGCTCCGCGAAACCCCAAACTCATTCTCACATTGATTTAGGTCCTAGCCAAACCTTCCGAGTACCCACCATACAATACTTTCAGACTGCTTTCAGATATCCAAGAAACCAGGATCGATTGACCATTCAAGGAACACTTCCATAGCTGAGAACCCAGGAGAGCAGAAACAACGCCGAAACCTATAGGCTTTTGAAGGTCACATCCTTGCGCCTTCTTTTTGCCCCTGCATGACTTATATGTCCCATCATACCAAGTACTTCGGATGTCGAAACGAAGTAAATTCATTCCCAAACGGCGCCTTGCAAGGGGGATTTCTTTTGTCCTGTCGTTTAGTTGTAACGATAATAAGCAATATGGGAGTTTCCGAAAAAGGGGGACCATAATCTAGTACCCTATAGAGTAGGATCGTTATTATAAGGACCTCAAATTCAGGCCCCCCTAATTTTCGGAAACTCCCATATAATAATCATAGTAACTTTACTTGAAGTAGGGAACCCGAGTCCGGTGCGTTAAAGCCGGAAAGAATCCTTCAGTGTGCTACGCCCGGAAGCTTACCAACCTGTGCAGTGGTTTCGGTTATGTTTTGAGATGCGACTATGTGTTTTACGGGTTTCCAGCTTCTAAAGATGTGGGCCCGGTCTTTCGGAGCTCTGGGCTACTCAAACCGTACATATCTTGGCCTTTCACACGGAGGCAGTAAACAGTCTTCCAAGTCTACACGGTTGCATAGGTTAGATTCGAGAGCCCGACAAAACCATGGCAAAAGCAAACAAATTGGACACATGTGGATCTTCCACGAAACAAAGCAGAGGCTGCAACCATGAGCAACGAAAGACTCTAAGAGCATGGTGGAGGCTTCCTGCCTCCCCTGCAAATCGGGATAGCCAGAGCGCGGCATCCTCACAGGGTTCATCATGATGGGTGTTGAGGGTTTCAGGTTGAGGAGGAGTCTTGGTACTGTGGCACTTGAAAAACTTGAGACTCCACCTTTAAGGCTTTCCAAAGACCCAGGTGCTTTCAGGCTAAGGGCTTGAAAATCTCTGCTTTTCTCAAAGTTCTAAAGTTGCAAAGCCAGGACGTGCAGGGGCTTCGAGTGTGGAATGGCCGGGATCGATGTCAAGGGCTTTGGACTTTTTGTATTTCTTGCCTCCTGCATGGCTGATGAAGTCGCGAAGCAGGGGAGGTGTAAGTTGTATACTGGCGAATTCGACACGGGCTTGGGGTTCTAACTAGCACAAGCTTAGCAGAAATAGTGGCAAGATCAATTGTTAGCTCTGGACAGGGATAGGAACAACCAGCGACCAACCAAAATGCTGATTCTGATAGCTCGCAGCACACGCTAACGCACATATCAGCCGATTAGACCTGAAGCCTTGGGTTAACCTACAAACCGGCCATATCCGGCCATCCTGCGACGGCGCATCGTCCCGGAACTGCGCCAATTGAAGCGCAATGCCAAGGTTGGTCCCGTACCTCGGCCACGTAAGTTCGACATTATGCGGATGTCCAGAGCAAGCAGGGAAGCTGAAGTGCCTTAGCTGCACCTAGAGACCAGCTATCAATCCATAAGTGTTCCAACTCGAACTTAGAAGGGAAGACGCACTGCATAAGCAGTGCTTGGGAGGTAGCTGCGGACGCTCCGCACGGATCTGCGCTGGAATGTGCAGCAGACACAGCAGGGGTTCGGCACCACTACCAACACCACGACGACAACGGGGACTGGAACTAGTAGTACTGTACTAGTGCGAGTCGTACTAGTGCTGTTAGCAACGACAACGACTACCGCTGAAACTACTCACTCTTCTGCTTCCGCTATGTCTACTACCGCTACCGCTGCCCTTGCCACTGCCGCTGTACACTGCAACTGCTGCTGCAACTTCTGCCACTAACGGTAACGACGGCGACTAAACCTTGGTGCTACTGCTACTGGCCACTGGCCACTGCTCCGACTGCTACTGCTGCTGCTGCTGCTGCTACTACTACCACTATTATCACCACGACAAGTACGCATAATCGTAACAAGCAGCTATAAGTAATAAGACTCCTGATGCTGCTGCTCCTACACCTTGGCGAATGAATCTATCATAACTCTCATCCTCCACCCTGCACATCTAGGGCACACAGGTAATCGAAGCCCGAAAGATCTCAGCAAGCTTGGACCCCTTGACCAGTGAACTGACTTGTGTTCTTGCCTAGGCGCTTTCGGAGGGCCTTTACGACCGACCGCGGCGCGCCGCTGAGCCAAGCGGCGCCGGAGGCCACCGCCGAAAAATAGCCTGATGCAAGCTTCGTTGAGCCTCCAGAATCTCGTTTGCTAGAGGCTGACGGCCTGTCAGTCAGCTTCAAAATGGAATCTAAACCCGTTGTCTAATACAATGCCCTATAAGCACCACAGAATACAGGACACTAATTAAACCCGCGGCCTGATCTCTACAACCCATACAATACGCAACACATCGGAAATCACGTGGAAACTGCTGGCCAGAAGCTGCCCACACGGAGGTACGCTGCATGGAGCGCAGCCCGCGCCCCTGCAAGTAACAATGGAGCTGAGCCGAACACCTAAACACCGAACACACAAAGCAGGCGGGCCTACATCGCCCACCGCGAAGCTCGGCAACTCGGCTGGGGCTGCGCCCCCCTTCGAGGCACCGTCACTGACATCCTGAATGTTTGAGTTTTGCTGATTTGGGGTCTTTGGGCCCAAACTCGCGGAGAACCAACATAATCATAGCCAACACTCTGAAGGCCAAAATGTCTACGATGCTGCCACTTTGACCTACCTCTGGGTCTCTTACACTGGGTCCAGGCATGCAGTTCGACTTGATAACTTAAGGGCTGAGTAACCGAGCCCAAAAAAGCTTACGTAACCTTTTCAAAAAAAATTGTAGGATTGTAAGCCCCCAAAAGGTTAAAGGTTAGCTACTCAGCTACTGAAACAAGCACCACCTGAGCTAAGGACTTCCTCAGTTTCACGGCCTACGCGCAGGCACAGAGAGAAACCCTCAACTAAGAGATTTCCCTCATGGCAGAATGACAAGATTCAGTTTCGGAAATATCGGTCCTTTCGCTTGGTTTTGTTGCTGTTCTTACTGCAAGATCTTACCGATAAAACTGGGAACCCCAAAAAGGCAACTGCATCGAGAAGATCCTGTATGAAATGGTCTAAACGGTAGCATCCCCTGTGCACGGGCACAGATGTACTATTAAGGGCCTGAGTTAATGGGCACATTAAGGCACAATTCATGATCAATTAGTTTGGAAGACAAAGAGCCTCTGTTACTAGCTGTAAAAGCAAGCTGGAAAGAAGCGCCTGTACTGCAAAGCAACATTTAGCATTTGGTACGATGTTGCTAACTACCCATGCAGACCGGGGCATTACCCTGCGCTCGCAAAACCTCAAACCGTGAGGACATGATCTCCGGGAAGCTACCTACAAGTGTCTCCCTACGAACTGTTCACAGATGCTGAAAAAGAGACACCTGCCAAGCTTGACTTGCCTTGGGCATAAAACGCTCGATAAACCCTAAACCCCTATAACCCTATAAAACCCTAAACCCTTAAACCCTAGATCCTTATCGCCTGAAGCCTTCGCCTGCAGAGCTCCTGAATCATCCGCGAGGTGAGTCGGATTGCCGGCAGCGATCCGAGATCGGCGAGCATCCACTGCCCCTGAGGTTCGCACATCGGCTTCGGGTTTCGGACGGATTCGTGTTTGGGGCCATCAGGGTGTGCTGTTTGACCCAAGCTTCGGAATTCGGGACGATGGGGTCTCGCTTTCTATATTATTTCTGCTTGATAAGATTCTGTGGGAATTCTCGTGAATCGCGCCAGAGCTTAGCGCTTGTGGTTTAGCAAGTGTGTCTAGGAAAGTTCACTCAGATGCTCGCGGCACGCTCGGGCAAATTGATTGGCCCGAGAGCACTGCAGAGACAGTTGCTGTGAAGATGTTCAGCTGTAGTCCCGGCCCAAAGTATTCGGGGACGTAAGCCATTGAGCGTAAAACTTTGCACACTTGTGAGAAGGCGTTTTTGACGCATTTGAAGAACTCGAAGTGCACGACACCAGCTTAAATATTCGCACAGCCAGGTAGAGGAACGCCTCTTCCACATGGCCGCTCACATGGCTCTTCTTCAATAGAAGATACCCAGTCACCCACTGCTTCACTGACAATCATGGGTTAATGTCTTGAATTCGGATACCAGAGGACCGGGTTTATGCCGCCGGGTTCGGGAAGTAATTTCGGCACCCCCTAGTCCGACTCCCCCCGAAAGGAGCAACACTGAGCCTTCATCAGGTCCATAAATGCGGGTGGTACATAGGGGTACATGCTTTGGCTAGGTTTTGGCCCAGTTCAAGTGTTTAGTGTCCTGTAAATGGGTCCCTAAACGAAACTTGTCGGTTGCCCAACCTCAGCGTAGAGGAAGTCACCGCCCAGGAGACGCATCTTGCCGCTACTGCCGTGCTGCATTCCGAGGTGTAGCCTGGTGTGGCAGCAGGGTTTTGCTCTCAAGGTTGATAGAAGTTTCGGGTTTTCAGAACCAGCAAAAGGGCTCTCAGCTAAAAGCTCCATGGGGCTTATTTCACACAGCCAATATTGGGGTGTAGGGTGTCGGGACACCAGGACTCTAACAGGGTAAAGGTGGGCTTTCGATATGCAGGTTACAGATGTCCCCCTTCGTTTGCTACTGGACACTCATTGGATTTAACAGACAGCGCACGGCATACCCACCAACACTAATCATAAGCACATCCTCCCCATCCCTCTGGGCATGAGAGCCCGTCGAATCCCACGGGCTCTAGGGCTTTTAATTGAAGAGATGCGAAGATAGGTTTCGGGATGTGGGCCTAAGCCCTGCGCAAGCAGCATCCGCTACCTGCTATCACCCCCGAAGAGCAACCTGAAGCTCTGACACTAGTCACTAGACATCCAAATCGCTGCTGAAGCACCACCACCACCACTGCCACCTACGTTAATTTGAAAAGGCGGCATGTTCCGGCCGCTTTCTTGAGCACACCAGTCATTTTTCCAGGCTGCAAAAAATCCCTTAAACGAATAGGGAAATGCAGCCGAGAAGCTTGCCAGCTGTGAACAAGAGTGCTTGAGCTTCACCTGGAAGGCACATGGCTTACGGCGAAATAAGCCCTGCAAGTCCAGAAGAATTCAAGCAAGAGGGTATGCTCCCGGCAGGTATCCCTAAAACCCTGTGTGTAGTGTCTGACTGAGGCCGTCTCCGCGAAGTCTTATCTACTCAAGAATTCGGTATTTGGGTTATTGCATTTCCAGGTAAGAAGTACTACCCTCGCGGTCTAAGTCTACAGTACCAATTCTTCGAGTAGCTGAAAAAATACCTCCCGTATTGCCCCAGCAGATGGACCCATTGTTGGCCCCTATTTTCAAGTTCGATTCGATTCTACAATCCTTAAGGATAACCAAGGGCCCCTAAACAAAACCCCGAATTCTTCCAACCCCATGTAGCCCTAAACCCTGTAAACCCTATTCCTAGAAGGCCATGAAGACCTAGTACGGTAAACATGCCTACACCTGCATCCTATAGCCAGCCCTGAAGCCCTAAACACATAAACCCTGAACCCTAAATCCTGTATCCTTCAAACCCCTGTGGCAGCACTAAACCCTAAACATTCCTAACCCCTATAAGTCCCATAACCCCCTGTTCCCTAAACCTCTAAAGTTCCTCTCTCTCTCACACACACACACTCGAACTTCAACTTCGAGGTGCCCAGCGAGCGGTACTCGGACAAGCCCTGGCCCTTCTTTTTCAGGGCATCCCCCGCCAGCACGGCGACCGTGACCTAAAGGAGTTCAGGGGTTCAGGGTTCTACGGAATTTCAAAGTTCACCCAAAGGAGCGCCTTGACGCTCTCAGAACTCGGCCCTCCTTTAGGGGTTTAGGGTTTATTGGACCGTCACCTAAAGGAGGGAGTTGAGGAGTTTAGGGTTTTACGGCTAATAGGCCAGTAAGGGTCAATGGCTGTAGAGTTTTTGGGGCATGGGGGTTTTGGGGTTCAGCGGGTAGAAGTCTACCACTGTTTCCTACAAGTGGATTGCGGCCTTTAGGATGCTTCAAGGTTTAGGCTTTGCATAGGGTTAGAATAGTACCGCAAAGGAACGCTGGGCTTCTGCAAACCGGAAGCCCTCAACTAGCGTCCAAGGAGCGAGAAGGGCTGGCACCTGGCCGCGTGGAGACACAGAAGCCAATTCGGGCAGAAAAACGACACCCGGCCAGGACCCCTCAACGGCAGCCTCAACAAGGCTCTCATGGTGAATAACAGCGAATACATAGGGTAATGCATGAAACATCAGGGTTCAGGGTATTGCAAGGGTTGAAAAACGGCTGTACGCATTCAAGCAGAACCTGTTGGATCTCCAGAACTCATGCTAAAGATCCCTCAATCCTCAGGTTTCATGTAACCGCTTACTATGCACATTGGCCCTGCAGGGGAGTTTACATGAAAGGCTATGTGGCATCATGGACGAAAATGGAGCCTGTTCGTTCTTCCGGAAATTTCAGGATTCCCCCAACCCATAGTTCCTATACTCCTAAGTCCTAAACTTGCGCCCTCATGGAACCCTGAAAAATCTGTTGTGTACGACCTCTGGTGCCCATAAAGCAACCCTAAACCCTAACCCCAGCAGCCCAGCTAGAGCCCCGAAAAGCAGCGAAACCCAATGCTCTCAGCAAGGCCTCCTCGAGGGTATCGGCAGAGTTGCGCAGCATCTGTCGGAAGCCTGAGCTCGAATGTTTAGGGTTTAGGGTTTTGGGTTTAGGAGGTTTAGGGTTTAGGGTTTAGGAGGTTTAGGGTTTTGGAGGTTTAGGGTTTCGGCGCGTTTAGGGTTTAGGGTTTCCTTCGTATCTGGAGGTGGGTTTTATGCAAACAAGCCTTTACGCTTGTATTCGTTCGAGCGGTTTAGTGTTTGTTGACACCAACCTCAAACGAGACAATAGACGCAAGCCACTAGCTTGAACGCTTCTTATGTAAGCGATTAGTGTAAAGTAGAGCCTTTATTGCGAGCATCCCCTACACACTCGATACGTTCATCATCAATAATTGTAAGGAGCCCTATGTGCACTCTCTAAAAACCAGGCCCGCATGTTTCATCCAGGCAGCTGCGTGGGGCCAGCTGTGCCTGCACGGCATGTTGGTTTGGGGCTTAGGGCCTTCATCCCTCCTACTTAGGGTTTTTTCCTTAGGGTTTAAGCGATTAGAGCTTAAGTCGTAAATTCTGCCCCTCAAAGTCTGAGCCCGAAGCTGCTCCTGTGTAGACATCTCAACCCTGAGCCAACGGAAATTCCGCGTACCAGTGCACCTTCCGAATGCCCAGTTCACGAGAAAAGGCTCCGGAGTTGCGAGTTCAACTTTATGGGAGTTTCCAGCAATAGCGGACCCTGATATAGTACCCGAAATAGTAGGATCCTTATGATAAGGACGTCAAAATACGGTACCCCTGATTTTCGGAAACTCCCAGATGTGCGATCAGAAATGTTGGATTGGGCTTACGGCTTGACTAAAAGGCAAACTCAATCCTGACCCTGAACTGCCCGCTCCTGTCGATTCCAGCCCCACTGACCCTAACTTCGATGTAATTTCATGTTCTCATGACTTGCTCCCTCCGACTGGGTTAAGGTGTCTCCGCGTCTTGCAAGGCTTTGAAGCTTTAGGGCTCTTGGGTCTAGAAGGTCCCGGTTAGTCGGAGAAGTTCAAGGTTGCCCGGGAGGTGTATTATAGCGGCCTGAATAACTACTTGTGGAACAGGGCTGGTGGTATAGTGAATAGCTAGAACAGGTATAGCCTAGCTTAGCAATATGAGGGACCATGAGGAAACAGCTTCACTATACTTATATACACACCTCTATCGACCCGAGCCAGTCACCGCGGCTCCCAAACCGCCCTACATCTCATTGAGTCTTATTGTTTATAGAGTTTGGGGCTTTTGGTTGTTAACGATCCCTGAGGGTCCATGTACTCATATACTATATACATTGGCCTTAATGTAGTCCCTATATAGGTACTTTGGGGCCCATGTATCTCTATATGGGTTCATGGACCCTTAGGGGATGTGGTTCAAAGTTACGGCCCAGGGCAAGGTTCCTGTTTCACCTGCTGAGTTTTGCAAGTTACTACGGCAACAACGACTACGATTGGGCCTAGGGTTGCTTATAGTACACTTCAGTAAAGGACCCCTACGGCATCATGCGGAATGATGATGGTAACTGTTCCGCTGTATTATGCCCCTACCTACTCTCTTCTGGCACCTTGGAGCGCAAGTCACGGCGCGAGTTGATAAGCTGCATACCTTTGTAGGTTGTGTGTGTGTGTGTGCGCCGGGGGGGGTGTCATCAAAGTGACAAGTCTGCGCAGAGACTTCAAGGCCATGGCCAGGAAGCCGCTGCAACTAGATAAGTGAGTACAGTCGACCCAGGACTTCATTTTAAAATTCAGGGAAACACACAGAGAGACACATGAGCCCCACGGAACCTTCGCGTCGAGAGCTTGATTACTACGCAGCATTCTCCAGAGCCCTTATAAGGCCTTAGGACTCTACGTGCTCAGATAGCCCGGCGAGGAAGTGGTCTATGTGGCTCTACCGAAACTCAGACTCTAAACTCGCACTCGAAAAGTTAAAGCTAGGTATGGTACAAGCCCGTGCACAGGCCACGGGCTTGCAGGTTTTTTTGGGTAGTTTAGGCTTCCTACATCTCCCAAGAGCTGACATCATGAAAACGTGGTTGTGCTGGACGTCTGAGGTGACAAGTTGAAGCCGATCTGCCACTTCAGGAGGGATTCCCATGCACAGCTGGGGTTATCGGGGCTTGCCATTGACTGCTGGCATTTTCATTTTTGGTGGCAAGGTGCTTCAAGTTGCAACGCGGTCTATTCAGGGCCTCTTGGGAATTTCTAGGGAGAGAGTAGGGCCTCTAATTCGATCAGGATGCGCACTCTGACGGGCAGTGCTGGGTCCAGGGCCACGGCCTGTCAGGGGTTTGAGGGCGCAGGGATACTACACCTGTTGCGTAGTTACGCGGTCATGTGGGGCTTTGGGCTACAGGCGTCTGCGGCTATGGTTCACAGCCTCAGGGTTTCGGACTCAGCAGTTACGGCTTGGAGTTCTGGTATCTGGGCCTGCTCCTGCTACTTCAAGCACGAGACAGGTCTGGCTGTTCGAAGGTTTGGCAACGAGCTGAGCACTGGTTTTGCATTGAAAGCCACTACCCGGGGATCAAACCCCACAGAACCTACCGGCCTTTGTCAGCCTCAATTAGGTTCTGTAGGGTCAACGTACATCCTATCTGTGTACAAGGACACCCGGAGTTGCATAGTGTGCTCTGATTCTTTGCGTCCTAGCAGTTGGTCAACCCTCTTCAAAATTTACTGCTTTGGATGTAGAACTGCTCGATGAACCCCACGACAATTCCCAAAACAATAAGCACCTTAAAAGGCCTAAAAAACCCGTACAACACCGCTACAGAAGCCCTATATAGAGTGGCTAGGGACTCCCAGTCCACCTGCGCCCCTCCGAAAAGCTTTCGGCGGAGCCCATACCTCAGCTGTCATGCCCTCCCTTAGCTTCCCAAATAGCCTACCTTTTCAAGGACTTGTACCAACGAATTTAGAATAAGGATTCCTCAACCGGCAGGCCTACAGGGCCCAGGTACACGCTCGAAACAATGTGTGGTATGTCAGCAAGCCTCAGACCCTTGGACATTGCACTAGCTCGTGAATTTCAGACCCAAAAGTCAGCGCCGTCGTCGACCTCTACGATCTTCACCGCTGAAATCGACAGGTCTTCTTGGTTCAAGGTCTAGGGCTTGCAGCTCAGGGCCTAGGGCTACTTCTGCACTACATGGTTGGGAAGCCGCTAGCCCACCGCAGCCGTCGGCCGTGCGTCAACAACGACCCCAATCCCGAACGTGCCATGCCCTAACTTCGTAATTCCGAATCCCAAACCTGTGAAACCCAAACTCACAGACTGTAAGCCCTGAACCTCTAGCCTACACACCTTGAACTTTGAACCATACATCATACGGATTCATACGGTCTACTCTGTTGAATACTTATCATAATAGACCTCACACTACCACGACCTACTCGTTTCAGGCTTTTACACAAATCTGCAAAGAGAGTCTATAGAGGACCTGGACATGAGCAGCTCCGAAGACTCTAAAGCATGGGCCAACCGTCTCAAATTGTGAATAGCATAAGAAGACCAATGGTGCTAAAACTAAGACTGCTAGCGGGGATGATAAACAACAGAAGTGACCATGTTGAAGGTTACAACAATACAGTAGCAACAGTTCAGTGAATGGCGCTTGTATGTGTTTATATATATATATATATATATATATATATAAAACATGCATGCATGCATGCATGCATGCATGCACCCTTACATAAATACATAAAATATTGTGATACACACATATATATATGTATATGTATATGTATTTGTATACTCTGTACACACACACACACACACACACGCACACCTACTTACTGTTGTTCCTCGTACAGCTTACATGGTAATGCACACCGTTTTATAGACAAGATCTCAGGCAAATCCGAGGTGCAGGGCGCCCACAGTCGACCCCAGCCATGACAAATATCGGGGCCAAGCAACGGACCTCCGCAGGCACATCTTGGGATTATACATGCACATCTTTTCAATGTAGATTGTCCAGGTTTCTATCCTATCCATCTTCATAGCCGTCTCGCTGTGTCCACCAATCCATCAACCCACCGCACCCCCCGCCCCCCACCTACCGACCCAGCCATCCGTCCATCTCTCCCTCTCTCTCTCTCTCTCTCTCTCTCTCTCTCTTTCTGCCGGGCTTAGGGGTCACCGTTGTGACCCTCAGGCTTTCAGCCCGCCCGTCCACCCCCTGTTTTATTCCTCTCTCTCTCTCTCTCTCTCTCTCTCTCTCTTTCTCTCTCGCTCACTCTCTGTAGTGGTCGATCTCTCTTTCAGATCTGTTTACCTACCTACTGAAGCAACATCGAGCTCAAGAGTTCCAAACCCATCCGGGTGGTTTCAGCAACTACTGAACCGTGGACAAAGACCTGAAAGAGTATGATATACTATGATCCGTCTTGTAATATCTAAACCCATCTCGTCCCAAGAGGCGCTGCCGGAGGTGGTGGTGGATAATCCAGACCTTCCGTGTTTCCGGTTGTGGTGAACTCTCGTCTTAGGGATAGCACAAAAACCCACAAATTACATACTACGCCATGACCCGACCCCATAAACAAAGCGCAAAACCCTTCAGGCACAAGCAATTGAAGCTTCTGGCAGGGATCTGCTTTTTGGGGCTTTCGGCGCTCACACTCGGACGCACCAGAGTACATGGCTGAGGGATTTCGGGATTGCAGGTTCAAGCTTTAAAGGACCTAGCTAAGTTTAGAAACCTTCCTATGTTCTCGGCGAAATGTCGGTGTGGTCACACCCGCCTGACTGACGGAGCATGCCAATTTTCGAAGACAAAATGAGACTACCCCACGGGCGCAAGCCCTGCATGAAAGTTGCGTGGGCTAAACGCCGGTTCTGTTTGCAAAGCGTCCAACCCCATAACCGAGAAGCCCTTTTTTGAGCAGGGACTGCAATGCACAACCCCTGAACCCGAGAAGCAATAAACCCACGATTTAGAACCCTTAAAGAAAAAGGCCAGCTTAATTTAAAGGTTTAAACCCTGACTCACTTGACTCCCTGACTAAAACGCTTATTGCCTTAACCCCCAATCCTAACTCCTTTACACTGTCTAACCCGCACCTGTAGCCCCAAACTCTCCGAAGTGGTTACTGTATAACCAGTACAGCAATTGGTTATTGGATCCGCCGGTAAACTGCACACACCCTAAATTGTAAACCAGAAAGCTAATTGATTTTGGATTTTTTCTGCTAGTGTTTAGAGTTTCGAGTCTAGAACCATTTAGATTTAGATTCTAATGCTGGAGTGTCGGGCTTGAAAGCACGCAACAATCGTAAGCTGCCTTACAACTCCACACCTCGGAACGTCAAGTGCATAGACCCAAATTTGGATCGGCCCGATGGCCTCAAACTGACGTACGGGCCTTCAGAATCGGAGCGGGTTGTATTATAGAGGGGCTTTCGGCAACACAGTTGACCCACAACAAAGCCTTTGCAACACCGTATACGATAGGCTACAACACAGCCAAGAACAAATCCTAAATGAGAAACCCTTTAGTTCCATAACGAGGCCCACTCAAAGTTCAAAGTGGCTTTTCAAGACAACGTTGCTTAACGCTCAAAGATGGTTCAAGCTCTCCCATTGACTAGGCAAAAACTCCAAGACGCTTGAACCAACAGCCATGGCACTGGGCTTGCTCGGACGCCTGACGGCCTTCCAGATCAGTTCTCTGGCGAGGTTTGTGCCTAGAGGGTCATACCCTACCCCTGTTTTTGGATCCCTGGCTTTATGGTTAGGTTCTCTTATACAGAAGAAAAGTCGGCACTTAAAAAAAGGAGGGGTATGACCCTATGAAAATCTGAGGCTCCTGGGGTCGATGGGCCTCAGGAGCTTCGGATTTTCAGTATCGGAACGTGGTCTGAAGAAGCTGGGGTAGGGGGGGGTGCGGAGGACTGGCAAGAGCTGCAAGCTTCCACTGGAAGCCGTTGGGGCTGTGGTGGCAAATCTTGCATCATGATCTCTTCTAGCCCGATATGGCTTTATGACGCAGCCCAGGCGTAATGGAAGAACGCCCAAATTGTCAGGTTCCACGTGCTTTGTCGATCGCACCCAACTTAGGGCGGTGGCTGTCAATTCAAGCCGCTGAAAACAGCAAACTCCCCGAACGATCTAAATACGCATAGGGCTTAAGCCAAGCTTTGGGGCCCAGACATCTATTCTATACGGGGTTTAGACCTTTCGATGAGGACATCAGAGTTGATGCAACAGGGCTTTGTCAGTGACAGGCTCTTACATAAATACTTGTGTATGTAGATCTCTCTCTCTCTCTCTCTCTCTCTCTCTCTCTCTCTCTCTTTGAATATATATATATATATATATATATATATGTATATATATATATATATATATATATATATATATTGTGTGTGTGCGTGTTCGTCTGCATACTTGTATACATACACATACCCACAGATCTGCAATCAAAGCGCTCTAAACATCAGAACCTCTCCCCTTAAGGCCCCTTAAGCCCCAAAGTGCCCTCTGCCGCTGCCTCATCCTCATCGGAGGCAGCACGTGCAACCAATGCCGATTCACCGCTTGTCCGGTGCCTCAGACAACCATGGTCTACCGTACGCCTTGTACATTCTTTTATAGGGGTTCACGGGATACTAAGTAGGTCGGCAAGTAGAAAAGTCTGCAGTAGGGACTGAGCCTAATACCTGGGGGTCTGAACATTCCGGTGTTTCGAGGTCAGGGTTTCGAACTCCTTTCTGTGCCGGTTGTAGCCGTTGGGATTTAAACTTTACGTTCGAAGTTTGAGGCATGTGACCAAGTACTGGGCCTTTCGGAGTGTAAGGTTCGGGGTCTATTAATCCAAATTCAGGGACTGTGCGTCCCTAATTATGCTTTCCGGTGGTGCTCTGACATCTGCAACAGCCCCTCTCTGGCTTTGATTTGTGGAGGATGTAGGGTTTGGAGTTACGGAGTTAAGGTTTCGGTTTTCGAGTTTGGTATTTCGAATTTAGAGTTCAGGACTAAGTGCTCAGGATTTTTGGCAGGATTGGGGCTTGGGTTAAGGCTTCGGGATGTGAGAGTTGTGATTTAGGGTTCGGCACTGGCGTTTTAGGGTTTAAGGTTCAGGAGGTGACTGTGAGAAGACTGAGGGTTCAGGGTGCAGGAATTCGGTTTCAGAGTTTAGTGAGTTTCCAGGATGTAGCAATTCTGGGGTCAGAACTCGGGGCGCGGGGCCTTGGGTTTACGCCTGCGAGCTTGGGGAAGGTCCGGAGGCCTGACTGTTAAACCCCCAAACCGGGATAAATCTCAGCAGTGAAAAACGAGTCTGGGAGCATGTGGTGATACTAAACACGTAGAGCGGCTTTGTGAATCGCAAGATCTAGCCAATCCTAAACCCTATAAACCCCAAACTTCTTTATTCTGCTACCGGACTTTCGTCTAGCCAAACTTCCCTAAACCCGAAGCCCGCACAGCCTCAAACTACAAACCCGCGCAGAACCCTTCTAGACATTTAGAACCCTTACAGTCCTAAAGCCTTCAAACCCAAGACATGCCGTCTCTGGCACAGGGAAACCCGCGACGGCACCACAAAGGCGACAAGGTCGGTCCTTCCAAGGGCGCTCTGCTTGAAAATGGTTCTGTATAGGTCTTGAGGAGGGGTTTAGAAGGGTATCACGGAGGCCTATGGCGATTCAATCAGTTTTGCAACAATTATGTTGTGGATTACAGGCCTGAATTAAAGGATCCAGCGAAATACCACTACTAGTAGGATTTTGGGATCAAAACTAAACCCTATGATTGCACAAATCAGTCGCGAAAGGCCTCTGCCACCAGATGGCAGCCAGCAGCAGGAGCCATCCCAACTCGCGCCGCGGCGACGCCATCTCAAACTATATGGCCAGGTTACAGCAAGCGGAAATTGATCTAGTTTCGCAACTTAGCTGTCTTGCATATGTAGATCTACATGAGTTTATACTCATGTGTAAAACTGTTGTGGGCGTTTACATAAGCCACTTCTGCTGTGCATGTTTGCTTCTGTGTCTACGAGTAACGTGTGTATGTGTAACAACCGGTACATATATATGTACATGTAACACGAAATATGTACATACGAAGTACTTGAGGATGACAATGGGACCATGGGCTACTGGTTGGCTGCCGCTTTAGCTTCATTGTAAGCTTGCTTACCGTTCGAGGCTAGCGCCCAGCAGAATAACGCACACTCCGTAAACCCGAAACCCTAAATCGAAGACCTGTTCCATCCTGTTCCACATTGCACCTCTAGCCTCTGTACTCTTGAGCCGGGTTTACGCGGATACGTGCAACGCTTGGGTGGCAAGTTATTGTCGGCGGTAAGGCGTTTAGAGCTGACAGGTCATAGGGTTGAGGGTTCCTTCAATCTCCAATAGAACTCGGAGGTTCAAGGCTGCAAAGCCGCTTCAAGCCCCCATCAAGTTCTTAAATGGAGGTCTACTCACTGCAGACCTCTTGCATAGGCGTAGCTGGACTCGCCATTTATCGCGAGATCTCGTCTCGAAAGCCATCTTAAAGGTAACGAGATTAAGACTGGATTTTTTTCTGGTTCTGTTGAGGCGTCGTAGTAATCATCCTTTTGCATAAGGTGTAGCATGTAATTCCCATGTCCAGAACGAATCTCCTGTAGGGTGCACTCACCAGCTGACTTCGGGGGCCTAGGACTTGCAGTAGTCCTTTCCCTCAACTTCCTTCCAAAGTGAGGAACGGAGGGCCGTGCCCCTGTGCAAGGTTTACCCGTAGCCTTGAAAACCTCTTTCTGAGGAAATGTGTTAGGAATATACAGTATATACCGGGATCAAAGAAATTCGCCCAAAAACTTGGCTACCAGTTTATATCAACATATGAAGTAGCACTCAGGGAATCATAATGTGGAGCCAACAACTTCCAGCATACAGTTGGTCGCCGGTAGTCCAGCTGCATGCTGCCCAACCCTCTCAAGTCCAGTCTTGGGCGTTGGACCTTATATATCCCTAGATACACACCAATATGCCATGTTGTGTATGTATCTATGTATGTAAATTAAATAAGGGGGTTTCCGAAAATAGGGGACCCTAAGATAGTATCCCAAATAGTAGGATCCTTATTATAAGGACCCCGAAGTAAGGTACCCCTATTTTCGGAAACTCCCATAAGAAGCACGAACCAAATTTATGAACTGGGGACTCCTAGATCTTGCTGCTCGGACTCTGGGAGGACATCTCTGAAGTAAGTGGACGGAGATCCAACAGAATGCTGTTGCGGGGAAACGCTGAGCCCGGACTACCGACTCTTGCAAAGTCCTGTTTTCTGAACTGGCCAAACAGTGAAGCCAAAAAGGCTCTTATAAACTCTTTTCTCATCATATCATAGCCATCATAGCCCCGAGAGAAATCAATCATGCTCCAACTCTCAGTGCCAAAGATTCTTGCATCATGGCGCACCTTAGAACTGACCAGTAACTACTTGCGATATACTCTAAGACCCACTAGCCGTGCAACGACCCTAAACCCTGAAGCCCTAAACTGCAAATCCTGACCCCTGACCCCCATGTAAACCCCTATCTAAGACCCACCCCCCGCCGAAGCCTCGGGGAGCTGCATTAAACTGGCCATGCTCCGAAAGCCGCGGCGAGTTTCGTAGAAGCGCCTGAAAAGCCGAAGCTTGATGAAACAAAGCTCGCTTGGGTGGGGGGATACTACGTGTTAAGCTTCGGGAGTATATAGGAAACTTACTTGTCCAGCTTTCTGGGGTACTATATGAGAAGCTTTTGGAGTAATTGTACATGGGAAACTACGGCCGGCATCAAGGTTTGCACGTAGCAGGGGGTAGTTGTTCGACGCCCAGGGTCTCATGGCTGAAGGTCTGCGGCTGATAGGGGCCAGGTGTAGCCTATGTTTAACTGCATGACTAGTGTCTAGCGATTGTCAATGACACTTTGCCCTGAACCCCTAATCAGGCAGTCGCCCCTCTACCAATGAAGCGATGCACCGCTGGATTTGAGAAAACACTTGTGGCTCCCGGGCCTTCCATAAGGTTTTGCATAGGATGTCAAGAGTCAGACTAGGGAAGGACTTTGGGCATATCATAGTGTATACGTTCTTGATAGGGAACAGAGGAGGCATCTTACGCATACAGACCCCTGATCCCCCCCATGTTGTCCTACAATCGCCTATGTCATATGCGAACCTCAAGCACGAGAAATATTTCATCTCTTGAAAATCTACACTCTTCGTTGCGTGTCATAGCGAAGGGCCAAAACACGGTTGACATGAAACCCAACCACAGAACCCGGACCCTGAACCCAACCCAAAGCCCTGCATCCCTTAACCCCATATAAATACGAAGCCAGAAACCTTTGACCTTCGACCGAAAAGCACGCAACAACGAATTGCTTCGGGATCCCCGGACTCTGCAATGCTTCGGCAGCCACGAGGCTTGAGCTCGGGAAGAGACTGAGCTTTTGAAAAATAGGATCCTTGGCCGGCAGGGCTTAGAGGGCCCTTGGGTTCTATGTTGCTACAAAAGACCATTGGTAGCCATAAGAACAACAATAACACAAACAAGAAGAAGCCCTAAGGAATAGCAGTAGCAATTAATAGTCTTTACTTCGTCTTCTACCTTAGGGCCTAGGGCTCACGGAGGCATGGGGTTTCAGGAACGTCCTCCGGAGGGGACCTAGAATCTTGCGACCTAAAACCCGAAACCGCAAAATGCAAACAGAATGACCTGAGCCTCTGCATACCCCACAAGTAGCTCGACATGTCCAACACTGAAGCTAGAAACTCTTGGGATCACCGGTTTGTTCCTTTTGGGGTTCGAGGTCGGAGCCCTATCGAAACAACAAGAAATATCTCCGGGACATTGACCGCTTCCAGTTTGGAGTTGTGACCGCAGCAGAAACTTCGGGCGTGCAACAGTATTCATTTAGCTTACGAACGTTTCGTTCCGACTGCCTCACTACACTACTCTGACCCAAAGCCCAACGTCGAGGTTGAAGCCTACAACCAAATGCCTCCACCGAAGCACTTTGGCCCTGTGGGCACTTCTCATTCCTGTTGACCCCGGCGTTGAAGCGCTGATTCCTTGGGCAACAGGGCTGCATCAGAACCGGATTGAGCCCAGAGGGTCTGCAAGTATAGCAGCTGTATATTATGCAAGCGAAATGTGTCCAAAATATCTACCATCTTGATACTTAGACCCTTTGGGGAGCTTGAGGTATCCGAGCTTGAGGTTCAGCTCAGAGAGGCACATCCCGAGACCCTACAAGGCCGAGACGCCCCAAGCAAACTTAGTCCTGGTCATAAATCGAAACGGTGTGATCGGCATGTTTCGGCGCTCACATTCGGAACAGTCCACGGGGAACATGCAACAACGATCGCACACAAGCTAAATCCTAATTACTAAGAGTGCAACTTATCCTCTCTCGTCTAGAGTCCCTCGAGGTCGGGATACCTAGTTCTAGGACTGGACGTTGCATAATGGAAAGTGTTCATACCCGGACATACCTAGCCCTTGACTGGCAATCCACCTGTCAAGAAGATGAGGTTCTCCGCAACAACTGATTCGTAGTGCTACAAACCGTATATGGTACATCTGGGGAACTGTCTTTTCCGCTTTGCCTGAATCATCTCTACCTACTCGGAACGGCATGGAGCAATCGGAAAGCCTCCTCCCTAGCTGCCCCAGTTCAAGAAGTCCCTACAAATCTTTGGGGGGCACAGGCACCAAGCATTTGCTCTCTGCGCTCACTCCTTGGGGGCACAGCAACAACAGCAGCAAAGGCCGACAGTACAGGTGATCAGGCCTGCGACCAGCAGGACCACACCCACGGCCACCATGATGATGGCCCGTCCGGCGACTTCGAAGACCTCCGCGAAGACATCGCAAAGCTGCATCGACCACATGTCCTCGCTGCTTGTGAGGGTGACGTCGGTGTCTTCACTGAAAGTAACCGTGGCTGCAAGCTTCAGGTCCGTGATGGTAATCTCGGATGCCCCAATCGTCCAGTCCAGGTCACGAAAGCCGCGCCGGGCCGGCGCACGCTCGGGGCCATCGTCCGGCAGCTCCTCGCCACCGCAAAGGCTGGTGTCCAAGGATGCTCCCGTGGAAACCGCAGCAGACGTCGTGAAGTCAGGACAGGACGCCACCTTCTCAATGAAGATCGCGTAGGGACAGGCGAGATCGCTGGGCGCTTCGAGGGTCCCGGCCGTAGCTCTGTCAATGCCGGCAGTCACATTGATGCTGATGTGGGCCAGGGACCACCCCCCTGCGAAAGCCAAGCAAATGCCTCCAACCGCCAGCAAGAAGCCGATGCACACAGACACCTTGGAGCACGTCTTTCCACAGCAAGCCATGGCTCGGTCCTGGCGCGGGCTCAGCAAACTCGCTTGATGTCGACCCTTGGGTTTCGGCGCTCACGCTCGGACGGACCAGGCGAGGCATCTGATTCGAGGTCTGTTGAATGAAACTGAACTGATCAGGGAGCATATCTTTGAACTCATGAAACTGCTAGGGGTGTAGGGTTTAGGGAGTTTAAGGCAGTTTCGCAAGGGAGTTTAGGACAGCCTAGGGCCTAGGGTTTAGAGCTGCGGTGCTGCTTAAGGCATGCGAATAAAGACGTGGGTACAAAGGTTCTTGAGCCAAAAGAGCCATGTTTGGGGTTTAAAGTTTAGGGCTCGAACATCCACTGCGATAGGTTCTTAGCTGTGGGAGTTGGGGTGGCTGCCCTCCACCCCTACCATAATTCAGCAAACGAATGCCCGAAGCCTTAAACATAAATCCAAACCCAGAAAAGAGACAGCACCAAGAACATCAAACCGCAAAACATCATGGTCCAAAGCCTTTGCGGCGTCAACTGTGGATTTCGACG